GAGCGTCAGAGCGTCAGAGTTTTATTGGGATATACAAATTCTCCGTTCGATTCTTCCATATTCTTACCTTGATTCGACCATATCCAATTGGGTCCGCGAACCACACGTATGCCGGGCGGAATGGAGGCTCGCATGGCTCGGTATTTCCTAATTCAAACAATTTTATGTAATTTCTATCTGGCGTGGCGTTTCTGCTCCGTTTCGGTACTCGGATATATATACTTCGAATCGGTTTGTGCTGCAAGAAGAAGGAACACAGAGCACAGATATGACATTTGACATTAGGTTTGGCTTCGTTTGGCGTTTGGTGCGGTGCGGTGCGGGGTGGCGCTGGATGGGAGTTGGTGTTCTGGGTTGGATGGGGACCTGGTTAATATTTGGGTCAGATAACTGGTACAAAGTCAGCGCATGACTAAAAGGCACAACAGCCATCTGTATATGGAAATGTACCTGAGGAAACTGCAATGGCAATGCAATGCAAATGCAATCGAATGGATTACAAATGGATGGGACTGGGACTGGGGCTGGGACTCGGAGACTGAGGGACTGAGACTGACTGTTCAACGGATATGGAATTAGAAGGTCTCATGACCATCATTGTGTATGGAACTCAGCTCCACATCATACCATACCATGGTGCGGGAGTAGTCGGACGGACGGACGTGCATATGACGCATGCCGATAAGACATATGGAGGGGCTGCATATGTACATATATATTTACATATATGCGAGTGTATTTCTTGTGTGGTCTCACTCTCTGAATGATAATAATAAGTGGAATGGTACACTCAGCATTTCGGGATAATACACAACACAGAAAATATATATAATTGACCCGCATGTTGTTTACGAACTCATACACGCACACACATAGTACACATATATATGTATAGTATATAATATACAAATGAAAAATTATATTTTTTTTTGGGGGCCAATTGCTTACCGAATGCAATTTCTAGATATATTGTGTCACGTATAATCACTTTTTAGCGCAGCTGTTTCCGTTTAATATAAAGTTCAAGTTTTCGTTTTGGCTCTAATGTTGCATTTTTATGCGCGCGTGCGCTTTTTTAATTGGCATTTAATGTTTCCCTAATATGTATATTTTCCCCCTCACTTGAAACCGTTGCTACGGCCCACAATTTAAGGCATTCTTTCGCTCTCTCTAGTTCATTCCCTTGATGCTGCTCTGTTGGGTATTAGCACACCAGCTAAGCACAAGTGCGCTGCTTATTGTAAACAATAACACCTTTAATTTCTATTTGAACAAAAAAATTTAGAATTTTGCTAGCAACTACAACTAAAATTTGGCTTTCTTCTTCTTTCTCTAGGTCTGGCCTAAAGATGGCAGTGCAAAATTACTGGCACCCATCGATGTATTCGATAGGCATTACTTAGTATCGGCTGGCTGCCACGCCGATATCAACAATCGATTTATGGAAAAAGAAGAACAATCCCAAACACATGTTGTTTGTGTAATTTTTGGCCAAAGAAAATAACAAAATTAACCGTTTAATTAATTTCCATGCGCGGGTAATGAAAAGAGCTGCCACAATGGATCAGTTGACATACACCACAGCAGTTAAAAAGGGTATGCAGAGCACCAAACAGTGCATTATAAAATATAAAAACACTTTATTACGTACAGCACAATTGGTGGAGAGAAATCCCCAATCTCAGTTGGATCCGCTGCGTGTTTCTATGCACGATCAGGAGGACATCATTGCATTGGCTCAACAAATCCAGAATGCGGACAAACAACTCAAAAACACCACTTGCCACAAGCTAGGAGTGATAATGGACCAGGTAAGGACACCACTCAGCCTGTGTGGAGGATATAAATAACATCAACAATGAGCCTAGATCAAGATGCTGCAAGCTCAGGCCATGGAAATATTGAAAGAGTCGAATGTCAATCGTGCTCTGCACAATGCCGCTTGTAACTTTACAAAAAAACCCGGACAAATCTATCATCTTTATGAAAGGGCATCAGGTCAAACCTATTTCAGCATGCTATCGCCGGAGGTAAGTCTGCCCAGACAACAATGTTTAGACATTAAATTAAATCATATTGCTACATTTTCAGGAATGGAATCATTCGATCGACCAGACATACAAAGGCAGCTATAGGCTAGAATTTGATTTAAGTTGGACACCGCTGGACAAGTTAAAACAGCAAGACGAGAGGCTCAGATGGGCGGAAGAGTGCATGGAGAAGGCCTTGGACAGTGGACGAGGCACAGCTATGGCTATTGACTTTAATATTAATCATGATTAAAAATGGTTTAAACTTGACAAAATTTATGTTTCGTATCGCCCTTGTTTAAATCGATAGTTAACACTATCGCAATCACCTAAGAAGTGCCATCACCATATGATTGACAACTGGCTGCATCGATAGGGGCGTAGTAGCTATCGATAGTGTTAGTGCATCTCTATTTCTGTTTTGTTTTCACTGCAACAGCTGTGGTTTTTTGTGAAATTTTCTATATTTAATTTGCGTTTGTTTTGTTCGCTCCGTTCGACATTGACCAGACGACACGTAATATGTCCGCTGCCAAGAACGAAATGTATTACAGCCTGCTGGAGTGGTTCAAAACCCTGAATCTGAATGCACCCCACGCAGATGCGGAATCACTGGCAGACGGCGTAGCCGTGGCCCAAGCGTTAAATCAATTCGCCCCGGAATCTTTCACAGACTCGTGGCTGGCGAAAATCAAAGCCAGTGCCGTGGGCATCAACTGGCGTTTGCGTATGAGTAACCTAAAGAAAGTAACACAATCGCTCTATGACTACTACAGCGAGGTCCTCAACTACACCCTCAGCGACTTTGTGAAGCCCGATGTACAGCGCATAGCCGAAAAATGCGACCTGGTCGAGCTGGAGCGTTTGCTGCAGCTGGTCCTGGGCTGTGCGGTCAACTGTGCCAAAAAGCAATCGTACATAACCGAGATCATGTGCCTGGAGGAGGAGTTGCAGGCGAACATTATGCGAGCATTGCAGGAGCTAGAGTCCAGCCGTAATGCCGCCGAGGGGGGCATCGTCACGTCGCTGTCGCGCAGTTCCATCAGTGGCATGCTGGATGGCAAGGTGCTGCAAGAGGAGCGCGATGCCATGGCCCAGAAATGTTTCGAAACCGAAAAGAAAATGCTGCTGCTGATCGATGAGAAGACAAACCTACAGCAGGAACTGCAGAGGGTGCAGCAGGAGTTTGCGCGTCTGGAGCACAGCTCCACAGTAATTGGCGACGATGGTGTTTCGTTGGGGCCCGTCCAAACGGGCTCTGTGCGCTACAATGAGCTGCGGCGTCAGCTCGATTTGCTTAAGGAAGATCTACTGCAATCGGAGGGTGCGCGCGAGGACGTAAAACTGAAGGCCCAGCAGCAGGAGACCGACCTGTTGCACATGCAAATGCGTATAGATGAGCTCTTGGTATGGACATATCAGCTATCATTCTTTTGGTTTATTCTAATCCAATTGCCAACAGAAAAGCACTGCTGAGGTGACAACACTCAAGGATGAAGTGGACGTGCTGCGGGAATCGAATGACAAGCTGAAGATCTGCGAGGGGCAGCTGGATACGTACAAAAAGAAGCTGGAGGACTACAATGACCTGAAGAAGCAGGTCAAAATACTAGAGGAGCGCAGTGCGGACTATGTGCAGCAGAACGCACAGTTCGAGGAGGATGCCAAGCGATATGCCAACACCAAGGGCCAGATAGAGTTGTTCAAGAAGGAGATCCAGGATCTGCACACCAAACTGGACACCGAGAGCAGCAAGAATGTGAAGCTGGAGTTTGACAACAAGAATCTGGAGGGCAAGAATCTGGCTCTGCAACGGGCCAAGGATAGTTTGCTGAAGGAGCGCGACAATCTTCGCGAGACCGTGGACGAGCTCAAGTGCGGGCATCTGTCTTCGGGCCTCACTGGCACCACCGTTTCCCGGGAGCTGCAACCCCCAGCCACAGTGGAGAAGATGCAGCGACTCGAGGCGGAGAACAAGGCTTTGCGCGAAGGACAGGGCGGTCAAACGGCTTTGGCGGTGAGCTATAGAAAATTCTCTAATGGCTTTTCTCTATAAATTTCTTTATTTTGCCAATGCAGCAACTTCTGGATGATGCCAACAAACGCTGCGAGAATCTACGCGAGCAGCTAAAGACGGCCAATGAGCGCATTCTCTCCCTATCGCATGCCTCCCAGAGCGACGATCCCATACTGAAAGAGTAACTAAATGTTCATTCTGTTATTGAATATTTGTAAAAACATTTCTTTCCCTTGCAGAAGCGAGTTTGGCAAGCAAATCAAACAGCTAATGGAGCTGAATGAACAAAAGAGTGAGTCTGAAGGAAGTTTTTAATTAACAAAAAAGAAATTAAATTTCATTTAAACTTTCGTGCAGCCCTACAACTGGAGGAGTCGGTGACGCAGAGCTCCTCGCTGCAGTGCAAAGTAACGCAGCTGGAAACAAATCTGACTGCTCGCGAGCAGGAAGTAATGGCCTACGATGCGAAATACCGAAAATGTTTGGAAAAGGCCAAAGAGGTTATCAAGAGCTTCGATCCGCGTATAGCCAGTGGTATTTATAGCCCTAAAAGCAACCAAGAAAATGCATTAAATTATACTAACACACACTTTGCAGCAATCGATGCCAATGCCATGGAGAAGTATTTCGAAGTTGTTGACGAGGAGCCAAAGCCAAAAATGAGCGTTATGGAAGAGCAGTTGATGACCTCTGCGTTCTACAGATTGGGTGTCAATGCCCAGCGCGATGCTGTTGACTCCAAATTGGCCATATTAATGGGCTCGGGACAGACATTTCTGGCACGCCAGCGACAATCGGCGCCACGCAAATCACTAAGTGCAATGAAATCAAAGTAGGGGCAGGGAAGGGCAGTTAATTTAAGGACATATTGCATCGCCAGGGGTTTGTTTGAACATTTATATAAATAATATATATACATACATATATATATACGGCAAGTATTTATTCGATATCCGCATGGATCTGATCTATATAGTATTTTTAGAGGAAATACTTTAATAAAGTTGCAAAAGCAAAAAAAAAAAAAGACAAAATTATCCAAATTAAAATAAATTTTAAATCAATTCTGTTGTTCGATTTTCCTCTGGCAATGAACGATCGATCAGCGATCACTAGAACTCGATAATTATGTTATCAAAATTGAAAATAGTAAATTAAAAATTTTAAATAAATCACAAAAATATTCTGTTAGATTTTGCCTCCTTGGAACGATCACAGGATATCCATCAATAGTCAAAATTCAAATCCAACCAAATCCATCATCATTGTTTTTGTAAATATCTTAGTTTTAGTATAGAATTAAATACATTTAACGCATAGTTCAGGGCAAAAAACACATAGATATTGTATTCATAGGTAAATCATATCGATCGCCTCTCTTCATGCTCTCTCTCTCTCTCTCATCCATACAAAAATCTAGCCAAAGAATCTCTTCTTTGGGCATTGGCACACGTAAGAAATGCAAATTCAGAAAAGGAGCTTCATAGACGAGCAGTTATAACAATAGGTTTCTCTGATCCATCTCCATCCACTCTCTTTGCCATTTGGGGAGGGGGGGTGCGGTCCGCCGGTTGCCGGCGACACCATTTACCATCACCATATAAGCCCAACAAACTTGTGCAGTCTACATACTTGGTACATAAAATCTAGCCTCGTTCTTCTCATTCACCACGGCCGCCACATGCTCTCATCCTGGCCAGGCCCGGGCTGGCCGGCGGCTCCTGCCTGAGCCATGTAGTGGTACTCCTCCTCCTGACGCTGCCTCAGCGCCTGGCGCGCTGCACTGCTCGTCTGCGGCCGCGGACTGGCCTCCAGGGCCTCGTTCTCATTGGAGCCGATGCCGCTCTCCGAGCGCGGCGATGACTGCTGCGTCACGGGCATCGACTTCAGCTCGTTCACAGAGACGCCCGAGCTAACCGAAGCAGCCACGGAGGCTGGCCGTTCTGTTGCCGCTGTCATGACGGAGACGGTGGCACCTGCGGACGCGGACGCGGCCACGGCCATGCTGTTGGCATACGCAGCCGCAGCGGCGGCAGCCACATGAGCGGCCTCCAGTCCACCGGGAAAGCTGGGACTCAGCTTGCCCGCCAAATGCGGCTGGACACGCTGCAGCTCAATGAGCCGCTCAAAGTCCGTGCGCGTGGCAATCGGATCGACCAGGGGCTGGGCACTGAGGCCCAGAGCTGCCGCCAGTTGCACGTAGTGGGGAGGGAGGACGAGCACACCGTTGGCGCTGTCGGGCTGCTGCTGTTGCTGCTGCTGGATCTGCTGGGCCTGCTTCAGCTGCTGCTTGTACTGCTCGAGGACATTGGCACATACTTTACTACGATCGTCCTCGTAGCTCAGCTCCGAGGCGACGCTGCTGGTCGCTGCCCCAGGATCCACCTGCGACTGGATCTGTGGTGGCATCTGTTGGATCTGCTGGCCACGATTGTTGTTCTCGTCCTGTGGCGCCGGCGTCGTGGCCTGCAGCAGTCGCTGATCGGCGCCCAGCTTCAGGCCCTTGCTGTAGTCCAATGGATTCGAGTCCTGGCTGCTGTAGTCCAGCGAATGCTCCTCCGGCTGCGACTTCTTCGTGCTGTTCAGATCGAAGCAGCTGCTGCTGCTCGGACTCTCCACGAAATTGGCCGTCGAATGGGGACAGATCTCCACATCGATCTCTGCTATGCACTGGTCCAGATGTCGCAGCAAACGCGCCTTAGAGCCTGGCTCGCCCAGTGTGGGCATGCTGCCCATTGGCGGGGGCTCTGGCGTGGCCAAATAACGAGCCACCTCCCGAGCACAGTCCGTATAACCCGCTCGATACTTGTTGACAGCTGTAGGTATAGAAAATGCATTCAATTAGATACGTGATACGTGGAGGGGATGGCAGGGGCATTGATGGCATCCCAAAACACTCACATGGATCGTCGAGGTTGCGATGCCGCTGAAAGTGTCGCACCGTCAGCTCCAGGATGTCCGCCTTCTCCAGCTTCGTGTGCTTGGCCTGGCCCTCGCCGTTCTTGGCATTCTGGCTCTTTGTGGACTCGAGAATGAGGGCCTTTAGGATGGCCAGGCTCTGGTTGATGCGCGCCCTTCGTCGCTTCTCCATGAGTGGTTTGTTTGTACGCTTGCTGATGTCCTGCGACGAGGTTACATTCTGCGTGGAGCTCACCAGCCCAATGGACTTTATGCCGCTCCCATTGGCGGTCGAGCCGGCGGCGGTGAATCCGATACCTGCAAAACAAAAGAGCCAAAATGAAATCCAATAATTAGCTGGGGAGTTCTAGTCATGGAATATTTCTTTCTAGCTAATAGGCATTTATGCTGAAGAGTTTGGGGGCCCAACAACATAGAGCATAATCGTACTTTGTGGCCCCACCAATTCTCATAGCTTAACGATATTTGTTAAAGAATTTTGAGCGGAATAGAGTACTTTTTGTTTTGTTTTTTTGGCACATTTTAAATAGTAGAAACTTTTCTGGTTTCCTTCGGACCAGAACAACTTTTAGAATGTAAAATCTTTAGGGATATTTAAAGTCAGTTCCAAAGGGACTGCATATTTATATTTATTTATGAATACAAAAAATTAAAAATTAAATATTTATGAAATTTAAACTTCCTTTAAATCTTATTCTAATTTCTAGGACTAAATGTATAGAATTTCCTTTCTTTTCTATTCTCCTTTCTTTTTTAGCCAAGAACTACGAATAAACCCCATTACATTTTAAATTGTTTTATTTCTACAATTTTCTTTTTAATTATTTTCTATTTATTTTTTAATTTAAATTAATTATTTTCCTTTTTTTTTTAGCGAAGAACTACGAATATAACCATGGATAATATCCATACTTTATTTCAGACTCTTTAACATGTAAATTATATTCTTGCTTAATATCTAAGGATTCTATTTAAATGAAAACTTTCAATAAAATGTAAGCTCTAAATTTTGTTTGTTTTTGTTTTAGTTATGATGATATCTTTCTAAACATTTTTTATTAATTTGTTGGCACTCCTCAAGCAGAAGGCTGTAAGTGCCAGGCGTTAAGGCGCGCCTACAGGTGTTTATTTCTGTGAAACGCACTGTAGTTTACTTTCAATTCATTATTTTGCAAATGAAAAGGAACTTTTGCAACCACTGATTGTGAAACCTTCTAGATTTCTAGAATATATGTCTAATTTTCTATCTTCCTGAGAGAACGAAAATTCTTGAATGAAATTCTTAAAATTTTTGAGTAGTCATTACTTTCGTATTAATCCTTTCTCAGAATTATATTTATTGAATGAATGATGATAAAGTTCTTAGAAAACAAGAACTTGAGATAAGAGTTTAATCCTTGAATAAAGGAAAATTGTGCGCATTAAATGACGTATGGATAAAATAAGCTCCTTAAAGGAAGAGGAATCTTTAAATATTTACGCTATAGTTATTAAATATATATTCTCCTTTTCTACGTATAATTTTAAACCCCCTCTTTAATGCATTCTTCTGTTCAAGGAAATTTAAAAATAATATTTTTACCAGTTGCCGATTTATTTTTCGGGTAATCCTTATCACGTTTTGCTGTCATTTTCTCATTTTTACGGAATTCACAAGAATTCTTTGCTGCGCCAGAGATTCGTTTTCAAAGAGGCTTTTTCACTGTCAATTCGACTTTCAGCTGGAACCCGTTTTTATTTGGAAATTTGTTTCAAAGAGCTGCCAAAATATTGCCGCGCCACAGACAGACTGAAATTTTACGTCTTTTTTGTGTGTTTCGCTCTGCTTGTAATTTCTTCAGGGCAAATTCCGTATCCAAAAGAAAGCAGACGACGACGTCCGTACGGCTCGACGGTTCACGGCTAACTGACGGTAAAAGCAATGCTAAAAGCTGAGCTGTGTGTGTGTTTTTTTTTTTGGTTTCAACTGTTTGCCGCCGGTTGGGTTATTCCGCTGTCGCGTGCGCTTCGTTTGTGCAATATTTCCCGACTGAATGGTGCTGGTGCTGCTGCTGGTTCTGGTTCTGCTGCTTGCTATTTGCTACTGGATGTGGCAGTGGCAGTGGCAGCAGTGGCACGAGCCATCGGCCACGAGGCACAAAGTTTGCCAGCCGTCATCGTGTGGCGCAGCAACCAAAGCAGATTGGAGTCAACCGACAATAAAAGCAACACCAACAGCAACAGCAACGCCTGCCTGCCTGCTGCCTCCCTGCCTGCCCGCCTGACTGCCTCCCTGCCTGGCTGCCTGCCACGTTAATGGTGGTTGTGGTAATGGTTGCCACACACACACACACAGACAGGGACACAGAGCTTAACGACGCAGCAGCAACAACAGCAGCAGCAGAGGCATGTTGCCAGTGGGCGGGCGTTGGCTGCGGCAAATGTCAGGCAGCGCAAGCGACAGGCCGACGTGCCGCCAAGCCGGACAGACGGACGGCGTGACCATGTCTGGCTTTAGCGCGCACACACACACACTGCTGCGATACAGATACACACACACACATACATAGATACCCCCCACACACACACACAGGCATACAAATCAATTCGTTTAGGCGCAAATACGAAATATCCAAGCAAACTTTTTGAATGGGGCGCAAAACGTAGAATCTAGGAGTGGAATGCAATGGATCTATGTACCTAAAGGATACATATATAGTACATATGTACATGGGTAGATCTTTAGATATTTTCATTCACACGACATGTATGTTGTTTTTAGCTGTCTTGGAGCTCAGTCTCTACGTCTCTAGTCTCTGTGTGCAGCAGTCTATTCAAAAGTAATGGGGGAGCAATTGGAACTGTTGGGAGATAGGATGTGAGCTATGGAATACAGATAAAATATAATGATTCCTATATTGATTAATTTTATTCTTAAAAGAATAAATTCTGTTCCATAAAAAATCGAACTTTTGCCTGCTTTTATGTGCCACAAACGGTCTTAAGTAGCAGCCCTTGAAATCAGAGATTTTCAACACACCTTCGACCCATCATATTTATTCCCAGAATGAAACTTGCATTCAACATTTCTGTTCATTGGGTGGACACTGCGTCAGAGCGCTCTGTCAGCAGTCGGGTTAGCCTTAGTTGTGGCCTGCGGGTGGCGACGCAGAACCTCTGACTGTTGCGGGGTCACCAGGGTCAGTGGTGGGGAGCGGTGGCTGGCTGCTCGCTGGATTGGGGTGCTATGGGTGGCGGGTGGGGTGGGGAGTCGCTGACTTTGCCATTCGGCTGCCCGCATCGAAATCATAACACCAACGAGGCGAAACTTCTGCGCCGCAGCCAACAGCAGGAGATGCAGGAGGAGCAGCAGGAGCAGCAGGAGCAGCAGTCGTGGCAAATAATAAGCCAGGCAGCAGGCGACAAAACTGGCTGTGGGGCAAGGCAGAGCAGCAGGGCAGAGCAGCAGGGCAGAGCAGTAGAGGAGACGGATGGGCAGCACCGGATGGAGGTGCCATGGTCATAGGAGAACCGGATGGTATGTAGGTGGGAGGCAGCAGCAGCCAGACGAAGACAACTGTGACACAGCGGGCATGGAAGGGCATGGAAGGGGCAGTGACAGTGGCAGTGGCAGTGGCAGGGACTATTAGATAAATACGTTGGCAGGAAAGTAGCGATGGCAGCAGGGGTGCAGTGCGGTGCGGCAGCAAGGTTGATGGCAACAAATTGCAGTGGATAGTGCCGTGCCGTGCCGTGCCGTGCCGTGCCCGTGCCATGCCGCACACATCAGACGCAGCTTAACAAGGTGCGCAACGCGTTCCGACAACAAGTGCCCCCCAAAACTGTATGCTATGCAAACTTTCCATTTGTTATTGCTGCTGCTGCTGCTGTTCCTGCTGCTGTTGCAGTGCCTCTCTTCCGTTTGCAAGGGAATTATTCAAATCCCAGGCAAATCTCAGGCCAAAGCCAATCGAATTTGTATAAACATAATGCAACAGCAGGCGGTGGCTGGCTGGCATCAGGATAAGCTTTAAGCCCAAAGCCTCAGCCATAACATCTATCACTTGGACAGAGGTGACCGGCCCGCATGTCCACATATGCATCATGGGGTAACATTTCATGCGGGGTTCGCCCATTCGTTCTTCAAATGGTGTCCCACAGATAACCGAGTTCCACTGGCCACCACCAAAGCAAGAGCTGCTGAATTCCTTAATCTTCTAATTGTGATACAGACTGCGATTCAGGAGCATCAAGTTTATGCCTCCCAAGGCTCGATTCAGATGCACAAGCGAAAAATGCAAAAGAGAATGTCCGTGAAGCTAAAAACAAAATACATTTCGTGTGCATGACGAGCCACATTGTTGTTTGACTTGAGTCTAGTCGATAATAATTGTTTCTTATGATTTATGGGCTCAAAAATGTTGCCAAAGGTGTGTTGTTATTTTTCATAACAATTTTAAAGCCAGGCGAAGCACTGGAAGATTACCTTGGACCCTGGAAACGACAGTTTCTACACATGCAAATGGGCCATAAAGACTGAAAGAACCAAAGAGATCTGCTATTCTATTTGTGTGTTCCAAACATCCAACTCTTCTACACTCAGAAGTAACAAAATAAAGTAGAAATCTCTATATAAGTTCATCCTTATTTTGGCCACAGAAATATTTAATAATAAAATACTAAATGGCTCATGGCACTTGCCACCTTCTCCAGCTAAAAACCAGAAACGCCTCTGAGAATTCTTCGAAGCGTAATGAGCAATTAGCATCCACACACCATGTGGCTGAGTGGGGGCGGCCTTTTGGTTGGGGATTGGGCATTGAGGATTGGGGAGTCGGGGAATCGGGGAGCCTTCTACTCCTTCGCTGATGGTCACACGGAGCCCAGCCGCGTAAGTGCGAGCCGCTTGGGTCGTTGGCTCTTTTTTTATGCGGCTTAGCCAGGTGTAATCATAGTCGAACGCTCACACACAGACACGCTGAAACAGAGAGTGCTACGCAGTCACCCACAGTTGCACGTGGCATGTGGCATGTGGCAGGGGCAGGAATAGAGTAGGGGTAGGAACTGGGGGGGCACCCACATCCACTTGGCGCATGTTGCCAGCCAGCTGCCGTCGCCGTCAGCCAAATTACTGAACTGAACGATGACTTGAATGCGGATGGGAGTCACGGGGGGGTGGCCTGTAGCCTGTGTGGCATGCGGCATTCGGCATGGGTTGGGGGGCAGTCATGTGGTGCTGGCACACACATAAATCGTTTATAGCCACACCGAGACCCGAGATCGAGGCTGGGGCCGCAGCCGGAGCAGGGGCAGAAGGCAGGCCCAAGCCGCCAGCGCCATCATCGTCATGACCGTCATCGTCGTCGTCCTCGTCCTGCTCGTTGTTGTCGGCGCTAAAAGCTCTGCCGCGTCCATGACTCTGACTGCTGGGTCTGCTGCTGCTGCTGCTGCTTCTGCCACACACATCTCTGGCCAGAGCTAAGCCCCCCGAACCCAAACACCAACAATGCTGCCAATGTTTCTGGTCGACTTGACAGGCCCCACTGGCTGCCACTCCAGCGCAGGCTGGAGTCCACACTATGCTGTGTGGCATGCCACCTACCACCCCCCCCTACCCTACCCCACACTAGAAAGGGCAGCCGTAGCAGTGGCAGTGGCAGTAGCCCTGTAACAGCCGGCAACATGCAACCTTTTGGCCAGGTCTCAGCAAAGTGTGGACTGTGGTAAATACCCTGCAATGCACACAATCGTTGGCCAGGCCACACAATAGCCAAAGGACGAAGGAGGAAGGACGAGGGCGCAGGGCCAGAGCCAGAGTAAGGAGAATCCAGAGTCCAAAGGTATAGGAAAAGCCTGGAGATCCTGAAGCGACTGGCACAAAAAGGTATTGGTGGCAAAACAGAAATGAAAATCAAACTGAGGCAAAAAAAAAAAAAATAAACCCCCACACACACACGCGGGTTGGAGAAAAGGGGAGGAAAATTCCCCACAGGAAAAGCTTCGGAAGTGCGCTCACTGCCGCAATGGCAACGGAAGCAGGACGGACAGGACAGAACAGGCAGGACAAGACCAGAGGCAGAGTCAGGGGCAGGGGCAGAGCAAGGACGAGGACCAGGGCACGGCACGGCACGGACAGGCCAGGCCAGGCCAGGAATAAAAGGGGAGCGAGTGCGGCACGAGAAAGGCAGTTTGTCAAGTGGCGGCAGAGAGAGGAAGTGCGCGGTGTAGAGGGAAAAAGCAGAAGTGCTGTGTGCTGTGTGCGGTGCAGAGGGACACAGAGAAACAGAGAAGAGAAGTGCCGTGTGCGGTGCGGTGCGGTGTAGAGGGTGCCACACGGGTGGGGCCATGACACGACCTGCTGCTCCTGCTCCTTTTGCTCCCTCTGCGCCTCTTGCTCCTTCTGTTCCTTCTGCTTTGCTCTGCTGCTCCTGCTGCTGGTGCTGTCGGCTAAAGAGAGAAAAATGACTAAATCAAAAGGAAGTGCGCCACACTGTGCGGTGTAAGAGCACGTACAATACGCCAGGATGGAGCGCCCGAGCTCCAGTGTCTGTGTGTGTGTGGTTGTGTGTGCGCCAGTGTATCGGTGTGTGCTCGAGTGTGCATGACTGTTGGTGTGGCTGTGTGTGTGGCTGTGTGTATGGGTGCGGGTGTGTCTGTGTGTGCTGGCGCGTGCTTCGAAGACCGACAGCCTGACGGCTAGGAGCACCACACAAAAGGTGCCAGAGAGAAAAGATGGAGAATATTGGGGGAGAGATAAGGCTGTGGCATAACTAATAGATGAATGAACTATAGGGGGAGTGAACTCATCGAAGAATGAACTATATCGGGGTAGTGAACTATGAACAGAATGAACAAATGGGAGAATGAACAGTAAGAGGAATAAACTACAAACAGGATGAACCAGTAGAAGAAAAATTAGTGGACAAAAGCAATCAACAGCAGACTGAAAAAATTGAAGAATGAATCTGAAGCAGAATGAACAAATAAAAGAATGAACCAAGAGAAGAATGAATCAATAGAAGAATGAACAATGATCAGAGAGAATCAGTGAATCAAAGGATGAAGCTACCATTAAGAAAATTTCCAATGAATCTACAGAAGAATGAATTAATCAATAGGAAAATTAATCCACAGAATGAATGAACCAATAGAATGAAGAATGAA